CGGCGATGCCACCAGCAGGCAAGAACACCACGGGCGCGGACCCGGGTGTCGGTGACGTCGCGTTGCCTGCGCTGCTTAGTCCCAACCCCACAGGGGGATGGAGGGTACTCGGCCAAGGTCACCCAGCAGGGTCAGCCTGTGGCAGGGTTCGAACCTAAGTCCCTTTTCGGCTCTCGAGGCCGAACCTGTGGGTGGGTGGTTTGGTTTCTTGGAAGATACACAGTGACCCGTGGGGATACGAAACTTCAGGGACCCTCAGAGTTAATAAACCGGAGGATAGCCCAGGGGATGGAAGTTTTTAACTTTTTTTGCCAGGATTAAACTAGGGGAGGTACGTGCTTGAAGGAAAGAATGTTTTGTTAGTGATAAGGCATGTCAGACGTGAGTTCAAGGCCTGTCCAGGCTACAGAGGGAGTTCAAAACCGACCTGAGCAGCAGAGTTCAGGGCTAGCCAGAGGTTGTCCAAGGCCAGCCTGGACTGGGGGTAGGGAGAGAGGCAAACCCGGGCAACTTAGCAAGACTGTTTACAAATAAAAAGTAGGGACCAAGGGCTACTCGGTAGAGTGCTTGTCTTGGATATACCAAGTCCTGAGTTCTGCTCCAAGTGCCTCCTGAGGCTGGGAGTGGTGGTGTGTACCTGGCAGGAGGATCAGAAGTTTGGGGCCCTGTTGTGATGAATGAGACCCTGTCTCAAAAACATCGTTTTGTATCGTCTCTCTAAAAAGAGGCCTGGGCACATAGCTCAGTGGTAGCATGCTTGCCCCTAATAGCAAAGACCCTCAGAGCCACCCACTCCATAGCACATACAATCGGATGTAGTCAGGTTGGAGTCAGAGGACAGATGACTATGGGATGTGTCCCAGAGGCAGGTGGAGGGGCATCTCTACTGCCCACTTTGGCAGTCTTGGTCTTCTGAGTCTGTTCCTTTAGGGAAGGGCAGGGTCTTGTGGACATGGGCTTGACATGCAGCCTGGTGCAGTACAACAAATTCAGTCTCCTTGGGCCACCTTTTGTCGTTTGTAGATTGGGACTCTGAGCCCCACCTTGGAGATAGTGTGTGTGTGTGTGTGTGTGTGTGTGTGTGTGTGTGTGTGTCACACTTTAGGAAGCTGTCCCTCTAGTTTTTGGACATGGCATCCTGCCCGTGCACCCCTACACACAGAAGCCAGAGATTCATTTTACCCTCCTGGATCTGAGACTGTTTAGAGAAGCTGACAGGGAAAGGAGGAGGAAGCAGCAATGTGACGCCTGTGTTATGTCCCCAGCATCCACAGAAAAGGACAGGTGGGGTGCCAGTCGCAAGCTAGTGCTCAGAGACAGGAGGACCTTTGGGGCTCCCTGGCTGTTCTAGCCAAGTCCGTAAGACAAAGTAGATGGTGCCGTGAGGACAGCTGAGTTGGCCCCCTGGCCGCTGACCCACAAACATACATAGTGCATATGGGCATGTAACATAGATGCATGCGTGAGGAGACCAGGGTGAGCTCTCCAGCCACTGAGCCCCAGCTTCCTTTCCTTTTCTGTGGGCATTGCATCTTCACTGGTATCATAGGCAAGACGCTCCCTCACTGCTATCATCTGCAGGACATGCAGGGTGCGGGAGCCGGTAGTCAGGGTGATGTGCTTGTCTCCACTCACACCCTGTTGTTTGTCAGATCTGAGGGCAGGTCTGCGATCCTGTCCTTCTGCCTCTGTCACCCAGCTGGTAGCAGTCTCCTGTTGTTTTTAACAGGGGCAGAGGAGCAGCTGGTAGAAGGATTTGCTGAGGTGGCCTGGGAGGGACAGCCCTGTCTTACCACCCCAAGGGATGAAATGAGACACCTTCCTGCAACTTGTCCCTCACCCTGGGGATGTTTGAAAACCAACTGTCCCCAGAGAGAGGGCAGGGGCTGCTGGTAGCACTTGTCTTTGGTCCCAGGGTTGTGCCCCTGCTGGCTTACCTCTGTGCCCTTCTGCACCACAGGAGGCCTCCTCGAAAGAGCTCTGGGAAAAGTTGTGTGAGCTTGGGGCCTAATGGAGGTCTGAGGACAGCAACTTTCAGACATCCCCAGGATGAGGGGCATGCTGCAGGAAAGTGTCTCATTTCATTCCCTGGGGGCAGTGTTGACATGGCTGTGCAGGGAGGGAGAGGCCTCAGGGTCCCGAGTGGTTATAGTTGACACAGTTAATACTGATAGGCATGACATACTTGGTGCCCTGGCTGTGCTGGGCCCCTGATGAGCAAGTGACATCCTTGGGTGCGAAATGGGACTTCTAGAGTCTTTCCACTACAACTCCCAGGACAGGATAGCAAGGTCTGAGGCCATGACACAGCCAGTAGATGAGTGTGCCTTGAGGGCAGTCATGGTCTGGAAGAAACCATTAGGGTTAAGCCAGTGAAGTTGGAGTATCCTCCCTCAGGCACACATGAGGTGTAGGAGCCTACAGCTCTAAACACTTGCTTCCATGCCTCAAGGAGTTCCCAGGACAGCCTTATAGCAGTACTGGCCACTGTTGTTAGGGGCCATGAGTGCTCCCTGGGAAAGAGCACTCACAGCACAGGCATGAGGACCCAAGTTAAAACCCCCAGTACCCTTGTAGAAAGCTGGGTTTAGCCACATGCATGTGTGACAATAGGAGCTTCCTGGCTGCTAGCCTAGCCTCGTATTCAGTGGAAAGCCGTGTTGAGGGACCAGGGTAAAGAGGGGGAGCACCCACACAGGAAAAAGAAAACTGAGTAAAGTGAGCAGAGCTTTATTCCTTTAGAAAAGCCACCAGGTGATGGTGTCAGGGCCCTCATTTCATGTATATCAGGATGGTTGTCTGTGGGGGTCAGGGTGTTGCAAAGCCCAAGAACCAGCCTAGGCACAGGGTGTCCTTTGTGGTTGGCATAAGCTGCTCAAACTGCAGGCTTAGGTGGGCCTCCTGACTCCTCCTAGAGCTATGGGGGCTGTCTTGCCACCTGCTGTTTTATTAGTTGGCTTTTCTCCTGCTGTCCCCTCAGGCCATTGAAGATGAAGGCGGGAATCCTGATGAAATTGAAGTCACTGCTGAGGGCAACAAGAAGATGCCTAAGAGGCCCAGCAAAGGTATAGAGCCTCTGGGCCACTGTGTCAGTGCTATGGGTGCAGAACCTTCACAAAGCCTTGCCTGCTGTCCTGTCACACAGGACCTGAACATGTAATGGGGATGGATTAAGTACGGTCTTTCAGCTTCATGTAGAGAACCTCTCACTGCCTTCCCTGCCAGAAAATGAAGCCCCTGTAATACTGGTTCAAAACCACCAGAGTGGAAACTCAAGGCCCCTGATACAGCAGGCTCCCCATCTGACAGTCCCATCCCACCCCAGCCCAGCTTCTGCTCTTGGCTGCTATGTCCAACCTGTGGGCACTTCTCCCCACTCACCTCCTTCATCTTGCTGTCTGTCCTTGTCATCTTTCTGAAACTCAATTTCCAGGAACTTGACAGAATCAGGTAGGTTGAGGCTACTGGGGACCATGTCTTGTTCACTGTGAGGTTGAACTCTTAGCTGGTGGGAGGGTGGGGTGCACAGTAGCAGACATGCTTCATATGTGGGCCAGTGTTGGAGGGAGCTCTGCTGACTTCTCTGTGGCCTAAGGCTCTGTTTTAGACTATCTATGGGAAATGGCCCTTCTGGGGAGCATGTCCAGGAATCTCCTCTTTTACTTGCTTTCTGCTTCTTTAGTAAAAGCAAATGCTTATTTTAATGTTTTGCCAGTTACCTGGGTTTAAGTGAAAGTTGACATTCCTTCCCTGTTGGAGCTGGCACAGTAGGGATGTATGTGCCTTCCTGTGTGCCTGGTCACTTCCATGTGTGTGCCTTCCTTAAGGCCTGAAAGTAAAAAAGACACCGATACAGAGCATGGTAACGTGCAGTTGGGTGCAGAGGAGGAGGAGCAGCTCTGAGTTCAAGGTCAGCCTGGTCTACACGGCTGGTTTTAGGCCCAGACCGCTATGATAAGACCCTGTTTCAAAACAGAAAACAGTTGGTCGTGGCCTCAGCCTTGGTGCAATGAGGGAAAGCACTGCTGCACAAGTGTGAGGGCCAGTTAGAGGCCTCAGTGCCCACAGGAAGGGGTTGGCTGGAAACTTCATGGTGTTTATCAAGTTAGGACAGGGAAAGGGAGCAAACCTTGTAGTGTGAGGTGGGATTGTTAATGAGGTTGCACTGGAAGCTGCAGCCTGGGGAGCGAGAGCACTCTGCACAAACCATTGGTCTGTGTAGATGTGAAGTTAGCCTGACCAGACAGTTCAGATTGTAGCAAATGCTTTTCAGGCTGCTGGGGAGATGGCTCAGCAGTTAGAGCGACACTTTTAAAGCCGGTGGAGAGGGACTGGAGAGGCCGCTTAGTGGTTAGAGTATTTCTGTTAATCTATGTATTGCCACGAGGCTGTGGTTCACCCATAACCCAGCATGTTGCTCCTTGGGCAGCATGGCGTCTCTCTGTGGTGACCTCCCTCTGCCTTCCTCCCCGCAGCCTGTTCTGGTTGCCCCACTTATGCTTCTTGCCTGGCTACTTGCCAATCAGTGTTTTATTCATCAACCAATAAGAGAAACATATATACAGAAGGACATCCCCCATCAAGTGTTGGCTGCTCTTGCAGAGGACCCAGGTTCCATTCCCAGTAACCACATGGTGGCTCACAGTCATTTTTGATGCTTCCTCACCTCCGCAGACACCACCACATACGGTGTGGTGCACACATATTCTTGTCAACAAGCACCTGTGCACATAAAAATAGGTAGATACTCTTTTTTTTTGCTTTTTCTTTTTAAAGAAGGCCAAGTGGGCCACGCGGTGGTGGTGTACACCTTTAATCCCAGCACTTGGAAGGCCAAAGCATGGGGATCCCTGTGAGTTCCAGTCTAGTACGGTCTATGTAATTAGAACCTGTCTCAAAGAAGGAAGGAAGCCAGAAGATAATAATTACCTATGTTTTCAAAACAAAACATGCCTTGCCCACAGCCTGTCCTCGGTATTCACTTTAGTTCATTGCACCTATGGGTGGCCAATAGCTGGCTGGCCATGCTGCCTGGGTGCTGCTGGTTTGGGTTTTGAACACAGGCTTAGTATATAGCTCAGGCAAGCCTCCAATTTAACTATTCTTCTGCCTCAGCTTCCTGAAAGCTAGGGTGATAGGGCTGGAGAGGCAGCCCAGGTCAGAATGTGAACAACCAAGATGGCATCTGATCCCCTGAAACTGAGTTGCAAGTGATGGTTGTGTCCCGTGAATTGAACCTGGGTCCTATGCAAGAGCAGCTAGTGCTCTTAACCACTGAGTCAACTTTGAAACCCCTATTACATTTATTTATTTGTTTATTTATTTGTGTGTATACATATGTGGTCAGAGGTGCACTTGGCTGAAATCAAGTCTCCTTCCACCATATGAGTTCCAGGCATTGAACTCTGGTGGTCAGCCTTGGCAACATGTGCCTTTTCCTTGCTGAGCTCTCTTGCTGGCCCTATGTGTACATCTTTTGCTTGCCTGTGGCCCATCTCCCAGGTGATTTTCCATTCTGTTAAGTTGAGGACAAGCATCTTGACCACAGTGCACTGAGGCCACACAGAAACCCAGTTAGAGTAAGAGGCCAGGCCTGTAAATCAAGCTGAAGAGCTGGAGACCTGCTGAAGCTCAGTCACCAGCTTGCATGGCACAGACTATTGTCCTCATACCTACATGTTGTCTCTTCAGGAAAGAAACCAGAAGATGAGGGTGTGGAGGACAACGGGCTTGAGGAGAATTCTGGGGATGGACAGGTATGCATCACCTCAGTGGATAAGGAGAGGGAGAGCCGTGGTGGCAGCATGCATGACAATGTCCTCTGTGTTCAGGAGGACGTGGAGACCAGCCTGGAAAACCTGCAAGACATGGACATGATGGACATCAGTGTGCTGGATGAGGCTGACATTGACAGTGGCAGCGTGGCAGACTGTGTGGAGGAAGAGGAGGAGGCCACACTCCCTGAGGGCCTGGCAGATAGCACTGAGCTGGTGGAAGGCGACTTGAAGGGGCTCCCGGAGCAGCTGCAAGAGCATGCAGTAAGCAGCTGGCGCCATTTGGGGCACTGGGGGGCCGAGCAGGGTAACTGGCACAGCTGCTGATCACTGTCCCTTAGGGGAGCCTGAGCTGTGATATGTGAGTATAGCTGACTGGAGCAGTCACTAGCTGCTCAGAGCTGCTGCCCTCAATCTGCTCAGCCCTGATACAGCTTCTCCACGTAAGACATCTGTGAGACTGTAGCAAGGTTGTGATGGTTTAGACTGGAGTGCCAGGCTCTGGGTGCCATGTTGCATTCTCTCAGGCACAGACACTGTCATCCTGGTGCTAGAGGAAGGAGTGCAGGTACAGCTGTCGGGGTGTCCCCAGATAACTCATGGCCTCCAGGCAGTCTGCTGAAGGTTTTTATGGGCACATGGTTGATGTCTGTCTGGAGAGAGGAGAGTGGGCGTCTGGCCTTCTCAGGCCCTGCAGTGAGCATTCTGTCCCCTGTCATGAGAACTGACTGAGCCTGTCATTGTAGGCAACACACTGGCTTTGAGTGGAGTGTTTGGTCTTGTGCTGTTAGGATACAAACAGGGTCTCAGAATCTGCTCCTAAGAAGCACAACCCAAGTGCCTGTCCTGTGGGGGTCTCCCTGTTGCAAAGTAACACAGGAGGCAAAGGCTTGGGAGCACACTGACTGGCTGGAGGGGACAGGGCTTGGGGTAGCAATTGTAATGTGAAGGAAACAGGATGACATGAGTTGTGCCAAGTGCCAGTCTCTGTGTAACTTTAGGCAGGCTGGCCATTAGTCTCTTCTGGGCTTTGGTCGCCCAAATTCTAGGTTTGATGAGTAATGGTGTCATGGCTACCCACCTGCAACTATGATAGAAGTCCACAAAAAACTACCTGTCACTGCTCCTCGCTGTTGCACTGCAGAGCCAGACGTCAGCATCAAAACCAGGACCAGACCCCCTCATAGCCAAGCAAACTTGCCAGCTCCTGACCTAGACTGTTAGCCATGCCTATTCACAGAGCATGGTACTGCTGCACTATCACAGAACAAAATCAGCATCTATAGCAACAAGGACGGTGCCATGGGGGACAAGGGCAGGCTGGGTGTACATGTAGCTAGGGTGCTCTTTGGTGTGTGTGGCTCTCATGTTGGGAGACAGTTGCATCTTGGGAAGAAAGAAGTGAGGCCTGGTCTTCAGTGAATGTTCTGAGTATTACTGTACCCTCCTGGGTGTGGGCAGAGAACCCCATCTTCGCAGGAGGGGTCTTCACCTCTGCGGTTGAGCTACCACTCATTCCTCCCTGCTCCTACAGTGGTACCTGGTGCCAAGGGCCCAGGCAAGTGGAGAGATGGTGGGATGCAAGCTATAGCCTAGTTCTAAAGGCAATTTCTGGAAGAGTGGACAGGGGCCTGCTATTCTGGTCACCTAGAGAGTCCTGGCAAGTGGCGTCTTCCACCTCACTACTCTTTTTATGGTTTTTCAAGACAGGGTTTCTCTGTGTAGCTTTGGAGCCTATCCTGGCACTCGCTCTAGAGACCAGGCTGGCCTCAAACTCACAGAGATCTGCCTATTTCTGCCTCCCGAGTGCTGGGATTAAAGGCGTGCGCCACCAACATCCGGCCCACCTCACTACTCTTAAGCCATGGAGAAGATGTTGGGATGGGCATTGTCCCCTCACCTATGGCATCATAAACTGTGTTCTTCCTTTCCACAGGTAGATGACAAGGAAGCAGTTAATAATGTGGATACGTCGTCATCTGACTTTACCATACTCCAGGTAAATTGTCACAAGACTCAATTGTACACTCAGAGTAACCCCAACTTCTAGAAGCCACCTCAAACACTCGAATCTTGGCAGCTGTACCAACTAGGGACACCTCCGCAGACAGTGAGTGCTGGAGGTCTTAGAGGACACTCATGCTGCTTCAGCAGAGCTGGAATCACATGCTGCGCTCTGGCTGCCGTGTAACAGGCCTTGCCTGAGTCCGTGCCTGGAAGAGGCTTAAGGCCAGTGTTGCTCCAGGGCTGCCAAGTAAGGGTGAGGCCCCTGGTCCATCCCAGTGTGGCAGGACACACACTGGTAAAGATATAGGCCTTTTTCTTTTTGTTTGGGATTGGTATTGACACTGTGAGATGAGGGTCAGGGGTACCAGGGCTGTATTGGGGCTTTCCAAACAGTAACCACATGGCAGCCTGAAGGGCCTACTTGGTTTTCAGAAGCTGTGGCCACCACGTAGCACCTCACTTGAGTGAAGATGTATACTTGTGGGGTCAAGCTTTGTGTGTTTGGGGCTGGAGCCATCTAGTTTGTAAGTTAACTGTTAGAGAAGGACATTGGGATAGAGTCCCCTGGGAAGGGACTAGGGTGGGAGGGAAGAGGGTCTTGTAGCACAGTCCTTTCCTGCTTCCCGTGGGGCTGCTCCTCACAGACACTGGCTACGTTTCCCAGGAAACCGTGATGGGTGATGTTTGGTGGTGTCCATGAAAATACTAAACTGTAGATTCAGCCACTGGGTGTGGTGGTGCACGTGCACACCTTTAATCTCAGCACCTGGGAGGCAGAGGCACCAAGTATCTGTGAGTTTGAGGCCAGCCTGGTCTATATAGTGTGTTCCTGGCCAGCCAGGGCTACATAGTGAGACCCTGACTGAAAACAGGAGAAAAATGAAGAACAAGGTGAGCGCTGAGGAGTGAGGTGGGTCTGTGTGGGTCCTGGGCCTCCTAGGAAATACTGTGAGGATGAGAGCATTGGTATATGGTTTTCTGACTGCCACCTGAGCCATTGAGCAAAGGTGGCTTTTGGGCAGGCTGTTGTCTTTGTTTCATGGAAATGCTACCACTTAGAGCCTGAGCAATGGGAAGGAACACCTACATCTGTGTGCCTTAGCATCTTGTTGATCATGGGCTCATGTGTTAACATGAGACACTTACCGATATTCCCTCAGGTGTTGCTCTGCCACACTGTACCTGTGTCCAGTTCTAGAGCTCAGTTTGCAGTGCAGGATAATGGTGTGGGGAAACCAGCCAAGCCCTCAGGTCCTGAGGTGTTCAGCTTGGACCCACAGGCTCCAGTGAGGGCTGGAACACTGGGGAACAGAGCTGAAGGAGTGACCGTCCCAGCCCACTCAGGCAGCCTCCCTTCTAAGGGTACACATCCACTCAGAGAGCCCTTGCCTCACACACAGCTTCTCTTGGCCCTGTCATTCAGGGCCATGGTCTACTGGTCTGTCTAAAGAATACTAACAGTGACACCTGTGCTCATGCCTGGATCCCAGGAGCCCACATCCTTGACCGGCATTCAGAGTGGAATGTCTACTTGTCTTCTGGGGCTGTGGTCTTTAGGGGGCAGCAGGCAGAGCCTGAGTCAGAGTGGCCATCCAGAGAAGCCCAAGCTCCGCCTGCAGGCCTAATGGCATGGGAAGGTGGCTGTGGAGCCTGGTGCCAGGGAGCCCATTGCTTTGTGACCAACACTTGTGGGGCCTGGAAAAGACACCATTGGGCAAGGTAGACACAGCTGGCAGGACAGGGTCCCTGGGACAAGTTGGGTCATCACTAAGGGAGATGGAAGTGTCCTAGGTGGAAGGGGAACTGCCATTGCCCGTTTCCCCTTGGCCCTAAATTTTCAGAAAGTCAGCTCGAAGCTCCTGCAGGTAAAGAGGGTGCCAACAGACTTGTGCCAGGCAGTTAGACATACATGGAAAGGGTGAGAGCCACGCTCCTGATCTCAAGTTCAGTCCTAAGGGAGCCACTCCTGACCACATGGGGAGACAGGAGAGCTTCTAGGTGCTCTGCAACAGGATCAGTAGCGGATCTGGGGCTAAGTAACGCTGAGGCCATCAGGGCAGGGATTGCCTTGTATAAACAGCGCCACCCCCCTGGGTCCAAATTGTCCCCTGAAGTCCTAGTTGGTGGCCAGCCTCCCTTAGTCCCCATGAAAGTTGGTGGTGGAGTGGGGCTGGGCCTCTAGGCAGCATCTTACTTGTGCTTTCTGTTGCAGGAAATGGAAGAGGCGTCCCTGGAGCCAGGTACTGTCCAATGCAGGGCTCAGCAGCGGGTTCTGCCCACAGAGGGGAGGCTCATGCTAACCAGTGGCCCACTCTAGCGTGCATTGCTCTAGTGCTTTACAAGTCCAGAGCACACCAGGACCATAGAGATTGGAAACCCAGCCATATCACAAGATCTGTGCATGTGGCCAGCAACCTGTGTGGCATCCTGCCCACATGGCGAAGACTTCGGTCTCCTGCCTTTAAATAGACGTGGTGGCGAGAATATGCCTGCAGCTCCAGTGATCAGAGCTCTGAGCCGCCAGCAGATCTTGTGATACCGGCAGCATGTCACCATGTGGTGTTGGTACAGGCAGTGCAGGTAGCATAGGGAATGCCACATGAATATGACATAACCGGATCCCCCCGAAGAGGAGTGCACTTCTGAGAGAGAATCGCAAACAAACACTGTCCCTCTGGGCTGCCAACCTCCACACGCCAGAAGACCCGACGCTCCGCATGTTAACCGCTCTGTAAAAAAGGCAAAGCATCAGGCAATTAGTGATGCATGAAGGCCAGGCGCTCAGTTTCGCACTTGGACGCAAGCTGAATTGAGAAGAGTTGGTTCACATATTGTCACAGTGCACAGAATGAAGACTCAAGACTCAGAAGGTTGTGGGGTGAAGTCTCCGGGATGCTTGCCTCTGCCCTTAGCGAGCACAGGCTGGGGGCGCCATGGCCAAGGGCGCAGGTAGGGTGCAGGCGCTGTATAGCGGGTTTTCCAATCTCTGTGTAGCCAGCAGTTCTGTCGGTGTGAGCGGGGCCGCCGCGCCCGAGCCGCAGTTGTGATTGCTTTATTTCCCTGGTGATTAAACCTTGTGCCATTCTATTCCTGTTAAATCCGTAGAAAATGAGAAAATACTCGACATTTTGGGGGAAACTTGTAAATCTGAGCCAGTAAAAGAAGAAGGTTCGGAGCTGGAACAGCCCTTTGCCCAGGTCACGAGTAGCGTGGGGCCAGACAGGAAGCTGGCGGAGGAAGAGGACCTATTTGAGAGCTGCGGCCACCCGGAAGAGGAAGAAGAGGAAGAGCAGGAAGAGGAGCAAGAGGAGGAGGGAGATTTAGCTTTGGTCCGCAACAGCGAGTCTGAGTCTCCAAGCACTCGGTGTCAGTGGAGCGAGGCAGAAGCCCCGTTAGCAGTAGTGAAAAGGGAGCCGGGCGAAGTCGCGGGCGCAGGCGGAGGCCCCGGGATGGACCGTGAACCTGTAGGGCTAGAGGAGCCAGTTGAGCAGAGTAGCACAGCTGCCCAGCTCGAGGAAGCCACCAGCCAGGAGCTGGTGAGAGCGCCCACAGCATCCCTGAGCCCTGAACCCCAAGATAGCAAAGACGACGTGAAGAAGTTTGCTTTTGACGCTTGTAATGACGTCCCTGCAGCTCCTAAAGAGTCCTCAGCCAGTGAGGGCGCTGATCAGAAAATGAGGTTTGTTGATTCTCAGTCCTAGACCAGATGCTATCTCCTTTCATTGTCACTAGTGACACACATGAGCTGTTTAGAGCCTGCAGTCGGCAGCCACGCTGCCCAGCGCTAGCTCCTTCAGGCAGTTTCATTTCTTGTTTATTTTACACTGGTTCTGTAATCTTTTTTTTTTTCCCCTTCAACCTGCCACGGTTGTTTGCTTTTTAATTCTTCTTAATTATTTTTAGCCCAGCAGAAATTTAATTAACTCTTGTGGGTATGCAATCTTACGTTAGGTCAGATTTCCAAAACATGTTTGTCGGGGTGTCCTTTTTGAGAGCTAAGTGCCGGGTAGGTATGCAGCTTTGGCGGGTCCTTAGGACTTTGGGTTTGTGTCCTGCTGCTGCAGCCCCCTTGAATGACACTGTCTCTTGTCTCTAGTTCTGTTGAAGAAGACTCGGATACAAAGAGGCTTTCCCGAGAGGAGAAGGGTAGGTCCTCTAGGTGACACCAGTCTCCTGTTCATCATGTTCTGTGTTTCCCCTACACATGCATGCATGCACCCCACTAGAGTTGGCAGATGCTGCAACCCCTGGTTAAAGCCACTTGATGAGTGGGCTTCAGTGGCTCAGGCCCTTTTTTCCTTGTAAGCACTTGGGAGGCAGAGGCAGGGGGAGGGTAGCAAGTTCTAGGCTAGCAAAGCTACCTAGCAAGGCCCTGTCTCCAAACTCAAGTCTGTAGGCTGGGAAATGATATGCACTGGCCTGCAGTTTTGACCATGCAGGATTTAGGGAAGGAGGCATGACCTGGGCTTGGAAAAGGTGTGAACAAAGACAATGCCACCCTGTAGCAGCTGCTTTATGGGCAGAAGCCATCTTGGGCTTGGGTCACTTCAGCCTTTCATAGCTGCCTGGCCACTGGATGTCCTGAGCTCCATTTTCAGTGCTATACCAACATGCCACTGCCCTCTGCGGCTAGGCTAACACTGGTTTCCTAGGCCTGGTCATGCCATTGGGTCCTGGGCGCACACGGGATGAGGATGGCCAGCTCTGGAGCTCTCTGGACGTTGAGATTCTGACCAGAACTTCCCTTTGCACAGGTCGAAGCAGCTGTGGTAGGAATTTCTGGGTTAGTGGCCTTTCGTCTACAACTAGAGCTACTGATCTGAAGAACCTATTCAGCAGATATGGGAAGGTGAGCCGCCATTGCCCGAGAGTGAGCAGAGATGACCTTGATTTTACTAAATGCCTGTCAGTCTATTTTACCAATAAAGACTCGAGTGCCACATGCTGGGGTAAAAGCTTCGATCTCAGAGAGGCAGAGAAAATCACCCAGCTGACCCCCCTCCTCTGCTGTCATACCAGAAGCCTCTTCTCCTCCCGTCTCAATCAAATCCTGACTTCATGCCCTCCCTCCTACACCCTGTGCATCTCTTTCTCTGTCCTCCTGACTCCTGCTTACTCTCACTGTTTTTTTCTTATTTTTTTTCTTATTTTTTACATTCCATATCGTTTTTTCTTAATCTTATGATCACTTCCTGTCAACTGTTTGCTTACTCACCTGTGGTTGACTTTATTTAATCCTATTTGCAATATCCGAGCAAAAGCTTTTAGATTAAAGGTGTGTGCTAGAGTTGAGCCACAGCACAACTAGAAACAGGTTTGTCCAGTAAATAATCCAGTCTGGGCGTTCACAGTGTGATCAAATATCCTGCAACATTTCCCCCTTTTTGTCTAAAAAAGGAAAGGTTTTTAACTCTTAACACAGTAAAAAACTATTTACAAGAATGAAGAAGCTATTTCTACGAAACTTTTCACATTGCCCACCATGGTTGGCAGTTTTAGGATTAAGTATTTTTTAAAGTTCTGTAAATATCCATGTCAGTCTCATATGAAGTTAGCAATTTGAATGTACTCAGCAATTTGTAGTTCAAAGCTGATCTTTGGGCGGTGCTTGTCAACTTAGTGGCAGTCCTAGATAGGTAGAACACAATAGTCAACCCAAAGTTGTCCACTGTTTGTGCAGGACCTGGCTGTAGTAGAGACATGGGACAGTTTTGCCCAGTGGTTAAGGTTACCACAATCCAGGTGGATACATTGTAGCAGGGCCCCATCATCTTGGAGACCTCAAAGGTTACTGTTGGGAATGCTCATGAGCATTTTAAATGCTGTGTTCAGAAGATCTCTAAAAGGTTTTGTTTTGTGTTTTGTTTTTCCAGGTAGGGTTTCTCTATTGTTTTGGAGCTTGTCCTGGAACTCACTGTGTAGAACATGCTGGCCTCGAACTCACAGAGATCCACCTGCATCTGCCTCCTGAGTGCTGGGATTAAAGGCGTGTGCCACCACCACCCGGCCTCTGAAAGGTTTTAGGACCACAATCTGTTAAGTACATCTGAGGTGCACAAACTTAATTCCTTGTTACCTGCCTCAGAGTCAAACCCCAAAACACATATAGGAAGCTAGATGAAGCTTATTTCTAGAATTAGTACTTTGTGTGACTACTAGTATCACAACAGAAAGTTTATATATGTACATAACTTCCTGGGTAAGCCGGGCGTTGGTGGCCCAGCACGCCTTTAATCCCAGCACTCAGGAGACAGAGGCAGGCAGATCTCTGTGAGTTCGAGGCCAGCCTGGTCTCGAACTGCAGCTACTGCCAGGATAGGCTCCAAAGTTACACAGAGAAACCCTTTCTCAAAAAACCAAAAAACCCCAAAGTTTTAGAAAGGCAAATGAAAACCAAAGATTATGAGATTATTGGCAACAGAATAGTCTCTTTCCTCTGTCCCCATAACAGATGACTCTTCTGACATGAGACATAGATTTGGGCTTCTCCTTTATGAAAACTGCATGAGTTTAGAGAAGGACAGAGCCACACTCCATCTCCAAAGCCAGCTTTATTTTTGGTTGAATTGGGACCACATAAAGATCATTTCAAACTTAGTCTGTAGAGGGCAGCAGAGAAAAGTGTCTGGGAATCTATCATGGTTGCACCAGTGGCGGGGCAGAAAGGAAGGCGGGAGTGCCAAGCATGAAGGGGCAGCTGCGGTGCATGGTGGCAGGGGTGCTGGTGCTAGTCTGGGGCTCCAAACTGGGATTTCAGGCCAGTCAGTTGGAGGTGGCCAGTTTATTCATTTTCTTAGGATGTTTTCTCTTGATGTTCTATTCTTTTTCTTCAGATGTTTCTCTTGTCCAGTGGTCTCCAGATTATGTGGAATACCTTTAATATGCTTTAAATTGTAATATGCAAGAAACTGTTTCATTGTTCTAGAGACATATGCTGGAGCATTGTCAGCCTTAGTTTATACAAATATCTCCATAATAGCCATAACTTAAAATAAATGTGTAATTATGGAATCTGCCTTTTCAGCACTCAAAGCACTTGCCCATTGAAATCCTGAAAATGTATCTTTGGTATGGTACACATACTTTAATTTCCCAAACTGCACAGTGAAGCACATCCATGTACCAAATTTCATTTCTTTGAGGACCCTTTAGGTTACTTCCTGCAGGTAATGAAAGTTTTTGGTTATCAAAGAACAAATAAGATATTTCTTACAATTTCCTTGGCTTGTTGCCAAGTGATAGAAAGAAAAATGTTCAAATTTCTGCTGTTAGCATGGTATTTCTTACAAAGTTCTCAGGCTTCTAGAACATTTCTTATTAATAGTCGATCAATTTCATCATTACCAATGCTAGAGGCACAAGATCCCGTGTGTTATATATAAAGAATGATTTGTTTCTGATTACTTGTTATAGTTGAATAAACAGCGAAGTTTTGAATTGTCTTGAATAAGTTCAGCAGTTTCAATATGTGAAACAACTCTTCTATATACTGAAAGTCAGTAACTATATTAAGAGATTCAGGAAAATCTAATAATACCATAAGAATGGCGTAAGCTCTGATTTTTATTTGAACTGAATCATAAGTGCTTTGAACTACTTATTATTCCTGAGTTATAACCCACCTTTCCTGATTTATTTACATAAGTGTAGAATGTAGAGGCTCCAGGAATTGGTGTTCCTTTTACTTTATGAGAGAGCATCCAATTAGTTATTTCTATGATAACCTAAAACTTGGAATCTCTTACTTTTGGGATATCTGTTGTTAATCTCTCCCAAAAAATTACTACAAACTCTTTAAATACATATAATTTGTACTTTGGGAAATAAACATGTAGTGAATGGATACAGTTTAAAAAAACTATTATAGTGAGATGTACAAGACAGGTATTGATGTACATTTTACAGTTGAGGAAAACTGAGAATTAGAGACTATTAGTAGGTGCTGGAAAGATGCACCAGGGCTCAAAGTCAACATTAAGTCTTTTAATTGCCCTGTGAATGAGTTCTCCAGTGCTGACAGGGAATGACTGAACCAAATTTGATACTGAGGGAGTTCCCCTAAGGCATCTCCCAGTAGCAAAGGGTTTCCTTGCCTGTCCCTGTTTGATATGTATTCATTAGTCCAGTGCTGGCCTTTGCCAAAGTTGCACACTCCAGAAGGATGGTGCCTTCTGTTTTATTATCTCTGGGGAAAAAAAAAACATTGTCTCTAGGAACACCTTGCCTACAGTCTCTTTTCAAATGACTTTGCTTACCATAATTAAAACATCTGGTATTTGATTTTTATTAAAACGTTTAAAAATTACTTCTATCAGAGTACATCATAAACTGTGAGATCCATATCAGCTGTATTTCTACTAATCCATTTGTCTATTGGTGCTGATCTTGCCTTTAAAGGCCTAATCACCCTTTTGCATTCTGAATTAGCCTTTTCAAAAGCCAAAGGTTCAATTAATATTTGTCTGACTTGGAATCTGATACTATTCTATTTACAGCTGAACTCAGTCTTTGTTTTAAAAAAAAAAAAATCAGTGAAGGCTTCTTTTGGTTTTTTTATAATTTTAGTAATTGACTTGGACCTCTTTGCTGACTATTAAGGATAAAATATGAATTACTAGACTGATAGTAATTATAATCAGTATTGTGTTAGTCTCAGTTATTTATCTTTTCATTTTCTGCTTCTATTTTCAAGGCATTTATATTCTCATTATACAGCATCTTAACGCCATATTTCTCATCCTTAATATGGGCAAGATTTTTTTTTCTTTTAATATGACATAACTCTCTCCCTAAGGACTTCCTAGGTGTCTTCCAAATCTGATGGCTTCTCAGTTTGTCTACTAATGGCATGATTTTTCTGTGTTGTCATGCCATACATTGGAGTGCTAAATGTTGTTAGCAAAATCTTAATCCTTTGATTGTACCAACAAAAACTTGGAGCCAGATGCTGGGGTGAAAGCCTACTAGCTCAGAGAGGCAGAGGAAAGCACCCAGCTGACCTTCCTCCTTTACTGTCATTCCAGAAGCGTCCTGTCGAGTACTGTCTAGATCAAAATGTCTTTCCATGCCCCTCCCCTCCCCTTCCTGTGCATCTCTATCCATCCTCCGGGCGTTCCCCTTACTCTATGGTTTTTTCTTAATCATCATATGTTCACTTCCTGTCCACTGGTTGCTTGCTTGACCTATTGACCTTTGGTTGACTTTATTTAATACTGTTTGTTATTCAAGAAAACTTTTGGATTAAAGGTGTGTGCTAGGGTTAAGCCACATTACAACTAGAAATAGGTTTTTCTAGTAAATAACACAATCCCAGGGTTTGGAGTATGATCAAATATCCTGCAACAGGACCTGACAGCACAGATCTGTGTCCTGGATTAATCTGGGGACAGACTGGAGCTGGCTGTCAGAGCTGGGTTCCATGTGTGCTGTGAATGTAGTGTTGGCTGTGACCACCAGGTGGCTTCAGAGGACTCACTTGAGCCACCTCTCATGACACTGATATTTGTTACCATCATCTGTGTTGTTCACCTGTTTGTAACTGTGTGACCACATCAAGATTCAGTTCCTGCTGTGACTGTCACTCCTATGTGCAGTTTAAACCTTGTTAGAGGAGCTCAGGCAGAGAATTGCACCATGCCCTCCCAGTCCTCTTGAGAACCTAGAGTGCAGTAGTCCTTCTAGTGGGCATCTACACCATTTCTGCCCTGTGCTATGAATCCTGGGTCTGTGCCTCCAGCTGTAGATCTTAAGTGATCTGCTTTCTTCCAGGTGGTGGGTGCCAAGGTCGTAACGAATGCCCGGAGTCCCGGAGCTCGCTGTTATGGCTTTGTCACTATGTCCACAGCTGAAGAGGCAACAAAATGCATTAGCCATTTACACAAGACTGAGCTGCATGGCAAAATGATCTCCGTGGAAAAGGTATGTGGCCATCTGTTGCAGTGGCACTGGCAGTGGTCCCAGGGCAAGGTGGCACTAACTTTTGACTCTTCTGCAGGCCAAAAGTGAGCCTGCTGGTAAGAGAGTGCCTGACAGGAGAGATGGGGACAGCAAGAAGGAGAAAGCCAGTACCAGTGACAGGTATTTCTGCACACCAACAGAGCTGTGTTCTCACCCTCCCTGCCCACCAACCACCAGCATGTGCCAGAGACACCCGTGAACCTTGTGCCCAAAGTGGGCCTCCTCCATAACCCACATCCTGGGTAGCCCTTGCCTCTTGAATGCTTGCTCTAAGGCTTGTGGATCACTCACTCCTAGGTCAGCAAACCTGAAGAGGGAGGAGAAAGCCGACAGAAAAGACGATGCTAAAAAGGGGGATGATGGGAACACAGAGAAGAGCAAGGACCTGGACGATCAGAAGCCTGGGCCTTCAGAACGCTCAAGGACTACCAAGTCAGGTAAGCAGTGGCACCCATGTCCTGTCAGTTGCAGGCCTAAAGTGACCCTCCACATTCAGCCCTTCTCTCCCTCTGCTTATAGGAAGCCGTGGCACCGAACGCACAGTGGTGATGGACAAATCCAAAGGTGTGCCTGTCATCAGTGTGAAGACATCCGGGTCCAAAGAGAGAGTGAGTGTCAGACCGACAGCAGGCTCGATGCTCCAGGGATTCGAGGGAAGCTTGCCGCCTTTCAGAACGTAGAGATGGCGAGGCTTCTAGAGCAGCCTACCTGCTGCTGCTCTCTCTGATGGCCGCACTGTGCTGCCTCCCGTCCCTGCCTCCCGGAAGCCCACTGTTGGGACAGCTGCAGACCTTGGTGGGTTCTGAAGTCTCAGAGCCTGACCACCTTAGTAGATGGGTCTGGCATCCCCAAGACCTCCCCACCTGTGCTGATCCACTAGAGGACCACATCACGTGGCACCAGGGCCCCTGGAGCCACAGATGGGTTTGGAAGGCGGGCAGGCTAGGATTGGCATGTTTGCAGCAAGCAGGGACCCTGAGGCACATGGTGCTGAATGAGAAAGATCTGTCTGAGATTTCAGGCCATCCCCATATGTGCAGGTGACTTAAGGAGGTGACCTTTTACCTCAGTCTTACTGAGAGCAGCTAGAAAGTAAGAAAGTGAAGGGTGGTCTACAGGGGGAGGTGGGAGGTCTCAGTAGGAGGTACCACACCTGAGGAGATGGTGCATATGGAGGAGGGCCCTGACCATGAAGGAAAGGGCAGGTGGAATTCAGACAGGAGGATTGCCACATGCTGTAGGCCAACCAAGGCTAGGCAGTGACTAGTGTCATTGTAATGGGAAAGGCTTGTAGAGCAACAGTTCTGACTAATCAACCCAGGGCTCTTGCCTCTCAACACAGCATGCTCGGGGCTGAGGCAGAAGGACCATGTGGTCCATCCTGGGCTAAATGGTGAGACCCTGTCTCAAGGGGGGTGTGACTTTATGTCATTGGGGATATAGTTAGCTCCATTTGAGCCTTTTGTGTTTTTGTTGAGCTCTCCTGTGAGCACCTCCTCCAGTCAGTGACTCCCTGTGCCAGGTGCCTCTGCCCCTCCTGCACTAATTCTCTTTCTGTTTACTGAACCAGGCCTCCAAAAGCCAGGACCGAAAGTCAGCCAGCCGGGAAAAGCGGTCTGTCGTGTCCTTTGACAAGGTTAAAGAGTCCCGAAAGTCCAGAGACTCAGAGTCACGGAGGTGAGCAGGCCTGGAAGGGGACAGCCAAGGGTGTGTGAGAGTGGCAGGTAGGTACTTTGAGGGCCCTTTGTGAGATTGCTGCCTACAGTACTTCACCGTTCTCAATTCACAGGAAGTAGCCAGCAGGGTAGGGACAATGGGGATATTCAGGGGGGTACCTTGCCTGCTCAGGAAGGACTGGGAAAGGGATAGCAGGAGTTTGGCCAGCTGGGCACAGCATCACTGCAGTTTCTAAAGAGACCTTTGCTCAAGGGAGTGTGTGTTCAAAGTGGGTGCCAGGGCAGACAAGCTCCCAGCACAATGGGGAAGGGCCTCTGGCTGCACTGCTGGGATTGGCGGCCAGGTAGGTTTCTGCTGTGGAGAAGGGTGGGAGGAGAGAGGACCACAGGAGGTGGCAGCTGCAGTACCAGGGACCCCTTTAACTGTGAAGTATCGTCTTTGAGCTTGCTGCCCCCAGCATGACCTAACTCTGCCTCAACTTGCCCTCCTCACACAGGGAGCGGGAGCGCAGTGAACGGGAGCAGCGGTTGCAGGCACAGTGGGAGCGGGAGGAGCGGGAGCGGCTAGAGATTGCCCGTGAGCGCCTGGCTTTCCACCGCCATCGGCTAGAGCGAGAGCGCATGGAGCGAGAGCGGCTGGAGCGCGAGCGCATGCATGTGGAACAGGAGCGGAGGCGTGAGCAGGAACGTATCCACCGTGAGCGGGAGGAGCTACGACGGCAGCAGGAGCTGCGCTATGAGCAAGAGCGCCGGCCTGCAGTGCGCAGGCCTTACGATGTGGATGGCCGGTGAGCAGCCAGGGATCCAGAGCACCAGGCCCAGGTGCATGGGGCAGGGGTGGGGGCGGGTCTCACACTGACTGACCTAATTTGGAGCCTGCTGGGACCTTTGGTGTGTGAGGCTCTAGGCAGGCAAGTGTCCTGTGAAGCTGCCAGTACCAACGGCTTCCAAAGACCAAGGCACTCATCACCCACGGTGGCACTAAGTTAAAGGTGGGGCGTTTGCTCCAAGGGTTAATACACCTTCCACAAGGAGACCTCTTGCCAGGGACTTGAAGCTGTGTAGACTCTAGGTGCCTCATGCCTCTGCCTCACACTCCATCACAGGCGTGATGATGCCTACTGGCCAGAAGCCAAGCGGGCAGCACTGGATGACCGCTACCACTCAGACTTTGGCCGCCAGGACCGCTTCCACGATTTTGACCACAGAGACCGGGGCCGTTACCCCAACCACTCTGTGGACAGGTAAGCCTCTGGATGGGCCCATGACCATGTTGGGAGGGCTCTGTGCAGGCACACCCCTCACCGTCTGGTCTCACTGAAATCACATTTTTTAGGAGAGAAGGTTCGAGGTCGATGATGGGAGACAGAGAAGGACAGGTGAGCATGGGGCACTGCTTCAGCTGTGGAGGGGTGGTCCCATTCTGTCAGTGCTGCTCGGGAGCCATAGTGCCGGCCACATCCCACCTGTGCACTCTGAGCCTCTCTGAGTGTTGCTCGCACTGCACCACTGCTGCTTTTAGCTGCATGGTGCCACCCTCATTGCTGTCTGGCTTACCATCCTAACCCTTTGGTTTCCCGTCACCAAGTTGATACCAGGGTTGTCTGCAGCCCTTGGATACTCATTCCGCCACCCTGTGGCTTAGCTCTACCACAGGCTGCCATCATGGTGTCACCATTTCACACAGCTACTTGCCTTTGTGGGAACAGCTGACCAGCAGTGGCCTGGGTGTATGTTCATTTGTACATGCAGTTGTCACTCTGCAAAGAAGGGCAGGTGACTGACTTGAGAGTTAGACAGTGAGAGCTGGCCCAGAACTCCGGTGTGTCAGGACTGTTTGTGATTGGGCAAGAGACTGGAGGGGGTTGGAAGGTGCTAGATGCATTTGGCTTCACTTGGTGTCTGTCAGGCCTTGGCCTTGACACAGGGTTTTTGGTAGGCCAGTATTTGAGCCAAGGATAATGGCTGGCACTCATCTCATTACTCAGGTAGCTAGCCTGGGTTCATGTGGGTGTCTCACTGTTGTGAAACATAGGCTGCAGCGCTTGTTAGGAGCCTTGTAAACCTAACCCTTTGTGAAGAAGGATGCTATGACAATGGCCACATACTCTGGTTCCTGAGCTTTGTTTCCTCTTGTCTGGGGATTGGGTGATGCTGACTTAGCCTTTTTCTCTGGTCCAGCATTACCCTGAACGCCATGGAGGGCCTGAACGCCATGGCCGGGACTCTCGAGACGGCTGGGGCTACAGCTCTAACAAGAGAATGAGTGAAGGCCGAGGGCTGCCCCCTCCTCCCAGGTTTGTGTCCCACCCTCCCAAGGCCTGGTCTTGGGATGACTTTTAGCCTGGCCTGGTGGAGTGTGAGCCCCACCTGCCCCCCCCACCCCCCCAGCCATGCTGTTTGCCAAGGGCCTGGTGTGGCAGTGCAGGTCAGAGGTATCTCTTTCCAAGGGGCAGGCGTGACTGGGGGGAACACAGCCGGAGACTTGAAGATGACCGGGCATGGCAGGGTGCAGCTGACGGAGGCATGATGGAGCGTGAGCACAAGAGGTGGCAAGGTGAGAACAGGCGGCAGCCAGGGCCACTGGTTAAGGAAGGATTGGGGTCTGGGGTAGGATAGGACCAGGTGAGACCAAGCAGGGCTGTTTGTCTGCCAGGCTGTCCATTTAGACTTTTGCCTCATCCTGCAGGTGGTGAGAGGAGCATGTCTGGCCACTCAGGGCCTGGCCACATGATGAACCGAGGTGGCATGTCAGGGTAAGTGCTACCCTGCCAAGGAGGAAGTGGGGTTACATACTGCAGTGGTGAACTAGGGACTACCTGTGGCTTGGGGAACACTGGCTAGGGCCTCTCCTTATCTCTTTAGGCGTGGCAGTTTCGCCCCTGGTGGAGCCTCACGTGGCCATGTGATTCCACGTGGAGGGATGCAGGGAGGCTTTGGAGGACAGAGCCGGGGCAGCAGGCCCAGTGATGCCCGCTTCACCCGCCGCTACTGAGCACCTGTGCCACCCAGCTGTGTGACCTCTGTGTCCTGTCAGGACTTCTCCCACCATTGTACAAAGGATTTTTTTTTAAATCTGCTGCCATATTGTAGCTTGTTAAATGTGAATTTGTTTTCATTTTGGTTTTTGTTGCTGTTTTTTGTAATAAACGTGTTTCTGTTCATGTGCCCTTTACTTCAAGCCTTCAACCTTGAGAAGTGGTAGTCCACAAGCAGCCAGAGGCGTTGTCCATGGTGCTAGCCTGTCCTAGTCTGTGGCTCGGGCCTTGGCTGATTCAGTCCTGCATATGGGAAGATAGTCGGCCCACTTGGACCCATGTTGTGAGCTCCGGCTTGTGACCACCATGTTGGTGACCATGATGGACATGCAGAGCTGGCCTTACTGCAGACAGAACTCTGCAGCAAACAAAGCTGGCTGGCTGTTGTTGGCAGGGGCACCAGAGGGGTGGGAGACGTGCGCCTAGCTCTAGAGGCCGTTGACACTCAGCCTGGGGTACAGGCAGAGGTAGCCCCTGGTTTTGGTAAGGCACATGTCTCCAACTTTTGAACTTCAGCAGAGTGACGCAATAACCCAGATGCCAGGCATCCTCTGTAGCCCAGGAGTGGACCTAGGACAAAATAGTTGTGTTGAGCCAGTCAGCCATCATGCCCTTCATCTGTTCACTGGGTTTCCAGGGTGTTCTGTGAACGTGCAAATAGCTGGGTGACCTATTGGGCTTGGGTCCGTAAGCTGCAGAGCTCCTTGTGGCAGAAGCTGTGCCTGGAGATGACCCAGAGCCCAAAGGTGGCCTGGAGTCCAGGCCCCCCACACCCCAGTACCTTCTGGATCCTTTCTGAGGGCTGGAGGGATAGTGCAGTGATCCCAGCAACTCAGGACTGCCCGGAAGTCGAGCTCCAGGGAACGGGACGCCTTCTGGATAGTGTGGGCAATGTAGACATACACATGAACACATGTGCACATGCTGTGCTAGTCAGTATTTTTTGTCAACCTAATAGTCATCTGGGAAGAGGGACAGTAAACTGAGATAATGCCTCCATCAGATTGGCCTACAGGCATGTTTTGATTGATGAGTCCAACACAGCACCACCCTGGGCTAGTAGGCCTGGGTGCTATTTAGAGAGCAGGCTAAGCGATCCTCCATGGCTTCTGCTTCAGGCCTGTCTCTTGTTCCTGGCTTCCCTCAGTGATGGAGTATGGCCTGAGAGGAGCAAGCTGAAACAAACCCCCTCCTGCCTGAACCACTTTCAGGCATGGTGCTTTATCACAGCAAGAGAAAACTAGAAACAACCAACCCCTTCTGGGCTCTAAGCAGGGATCCCCAATGGACAGGACTTTCTCCACAAGCAAAGGTTGCCAGAGCTACGACCCCCCAAAACACAGATCGGGAAACATTCCCAAGTTGTTTATTGGACCAGCAATGCTGGAAGCTGCCCAGAGTGGGTCCCGACTGTGGTAGAGTCCTGCCCACCCCGTAGCACGGGGCAGGTGGCATCCATTACTTGCTGTGCTCTTTCACATAATCCCAGCCCTCCTTGGAGTACTCTCGGGCCTTGCTGGGGGCCACGGACAAAGCTGCCATGACAGAGATGATGCCTGCAAGGATAATGCATGGGTGCCAGTGAGAACCCAAATGCCAGAACCATTCTCACAGCCAACCCCCAAAGAAGCCCAAGAGTGGTAACTGGAGCAGGAGTGAGTGGGGCCACCCCTTCCCTTCGTGTTGTTTTAGAGAAGTTCCTCTGTGTAGCCCTGGAACTAAAAATCTTCCTGCCTCGGCCTCCCAAATGCTGGAGTCATAGGCATGGGCCACCATGCCCAGTCCTTTCTACTTAGCTCAATAGGCGACATTCAGGCACACAGGAATGGAAAGGAACGGTGAGGCAAACAGGGCTGGGATGCCGAGGCATCCCCCAAGCAGAGGCATAGGGACCTACCTGAGTTCCAGGATTCACGGAAGTTCGGAAAGTTAATCTTTGGAGGGGCTGGGAGCTGGGAACAAAGAGGAGCACAGGTGCTGGTGCGTTGGGGATAGGTCACACCTTATCACCCAGACCCAGTGATACAAATTCCACGCAACAGGTGGTACAGGCACCAAGGCCACCCAGAATTGACCTGCCAAGCCCCATCCTCCCTCCCAGCCAGATTACCTGTGGCATCTCCAAACCCGTCTGCTGGCATACATACTGGCTGAACTGGTACATTGCTGGTGGCACCACCTCCTCGGCCTTTCTTAGAGCAGCCTCGCTCTTGTCACTGGGTCCCAGCAGCTCCTGGTCATAAACAAGGTAGACTGCTCCCCCAGCCACACTTCCCTTGATAAGGAACCTACGGGGAGACAGGAAGGGACTGAAGCCGGGGACCTGAACAGTTCACCAGGTGACACCCTGGGAGCCCAGGGAACAAGGATCATTCCTTTGCCTTGTGTGACACGACTTGTGGTAAGCCGAGTCTTAAAGTAAGAGACAGTGGGTCATTCGAAATCCTGCCGCCAGCAGGAGCCCAGGGGAGCTTCCTTCATGTCATTCAATGAAGGGGCGACGGGCAAGCTTTCCCACGCGTCCCCACTGCACATACGGGAAAACTTAAGCTGTAGGTGACATGGGCTGGCTGGGGGGAAGGAGAGAAGAGATGCAGTTAGCCTTGCCAGCAAACCCGGTTCCTTCCCTACATGGGCCGTGAGAAGAGGTCCAGAAGCAACCGGAAGTAAGCCTTCGCAGGACACCCAGCGGCCAGGCACATATGCCTATAGCACGGAACTTTCTCGAAGGTTCAGGGCCCAACCCGAGTCTCCACGCACCTCATTAGCGACCATACTCGAGCCACCATAGTCGATCCCTCGCTTCACTCCCCGCGCAAGGACACGCGACTCGCCCGCCGCTTCCGGTGGGCGATGTTACCGAGGTTCCTGGGAAAGGTAGTAGTCGCCGTGAGCCGCAAAGGACTCCGGGAACAGCAATAGGGTTAGACTCAGTATACCGAGGACAGTGGGTGCCGCAATTCTTTCTGGGAAATGTAGTCGGGGAGGGGGGGAACAAACCAGAGACGAGCTAGGCCGCGAAGCCTCCTGGAAAATGTAGTTTGGAGGGTCGATGGAAGGAGCCCTCAGAGGACGCGTATGGGATCCTCGCGCCTGCGCGAAGGATTGAGCGTGCCTGAGGTCTAGCGAGCCTAGGAGGCAGTTACCACAGCAACGCGAGGGCGGGATTGTTCCGGAAGGATAGTCTTTCATCACGTCTCGGGGTGTGTCTTTCACCTAAAGGGGAAAGCAGAGGCCGAGGCTGGCTGGTTGAAATCTGGCTAAGGTTTTTGCCAGTGAGTCCTATCCCCCCATATGCCAGGAAGCTGGGGGTCATATGATACGGGTTGGCAGTGTGTGGTCCCAGGTCAGGTAAAGGGAGCAAAAAGTGAGGTAACAAAGGTGATGATCATATAGATCCCTGTTCTGCTGCAAGGTAGGGATAAGTGGTTGCTGGAGACCGGAACAGGGAACTGACAAGCTTTACCCTTTTATACAGCTTTAACTGGAGAACCCAGAGATCATGGGGCAGAGAGTTCTTAGAGGGTCCGAA